CAAATATAAATATCTGACTGATGTAATGTTCTGATAAACGGTGACCTTGACTAAAAATAGATCACTCATAAAGATGGCGATTCTTTCGTTAAATATTTTCAGCAAAAATACCCGGTCGAAAATTTTGCTTAAAGTATGAGATTAATTATTATAAACAAAATGATTGTTGAAGGCAAATATTTTTTTACAGAAATAATCTTCATAATATTCCCTACACAAAATCATCTGCTGGTATAAAATATCTTAGGTATTTATATTTATATACGCATTTATTTTGACCGTTGCGTCAACGCAACACCAGGGGCTAATGGGTTAATGTGATATTCTTTATATTGATACGCATTAAAAACAAGTATATTAAATACACCTGGCTATTCTCGTATAAAACAAAATCGGTTAGTATGCGGTGCCGTGGAAATTAGAATCAAAGAATATGTATTGTTAAGAAGGAACAACTTCTCTGCAACAGGAGTGGCTCCATTCCAACATAGAGGAAAACAGCTGCGCATGGGCAAAATATCTGTCGCCAAAGCTCGAAGCCGGTGTCAAAGTTCGAAGGTCACGTTATAAAGAGTTCATAAAATGAATATCGTTTAAAATTTCTTAAAACTTTAAAACAAAAAAAAATATTTTTTCATGCAAGTAAATTAATTAATGGAATAGTTATTTTTGAGGAAAAAAACTATGAAAATCCATGTTTAAATTATTACTAAATATCAAAGAAGAAACGTTATGTGTTCTTCAATTTCCTGTACACATCGCGAAGAGGGAAATTCTGGCCATCAGGTTCCGTCGGCAAATCCTTTGGCAAATTTTTCCTCCGCTTTCTAGCGGCGTAATAGCATTACGTCTATCGAACCTTTACATATTGAATACTGTCTTTCTTTACATAGACGTTTTTTGGTTAGAATAACCTCCATGTATTCTATTCTAACCTCCATATGCGATACACATGAGATTTGGCGGCATTATGATGAGCAGTAAACGTTTCATTTTGGTGTTGGCGACAATTTTGAAAATAGTGCCATGGCTTTACCGTATACTAAGATTTTACCACAAAATCTTTTAAACCTTTTCTTTTTAATAAATGCCTTATTTGTCATTTTGCAATAAAATTATAAAACAAAATAGTAATCAGTCATCTAGGCTAACCATTAAATATTCTCTTAAATGTCGTTGATTATTCTATTTCAATTTTTAAGTAATTATCTTTATTTTTATGTTATTCGTATCATTTAATGTTGCTTCTTCCCTCTAAATTTTTTTATTAGTAGTAAATAATACTTTCAAATTTCAGGATTTTCTCTGGCATACTCCTGAAATTAATTCTAGCAGTATGATGACCATGCCATCATGAAATGTAATGCACATATTTTTTGCTTATGAATGCTGCTGAATAAAATATCTGCATTAATTAAAAGTATTATTAAATATATTTCTTTCTTTCATTTAGCTGCAAAATTTCTGCAGAAAAAGACATTTTTTAATCCAGATTGGGCAGATTCTAATCTCAATCTTCAGTGGCGAAAACAATTCCTATTATAGTTAACATAGTAATGCTTTGAAGATTATAAGTCAGATGTAATTGGTAAATTTTTGTGTTTTCAAGTAATACCATAGTTAATTTACCTCTTAGCACAGCCGACATGCATTATACGGATGGACTGGAATTTTCTTAAAACACACCTGAAAAAGTCAGGAAATTTCATTCCTATGTTGTAGTGGCAACCCCGTCATTGCCAATTTTCTTACCTCCTGAGTGAGTTGCACAATGTTTCCTTCCAGCGATGAATTTCAAGATGGTTTGAGATAGCATAGTGATTTGGTTTGAGCAGACATGGGCAGGTCATGAATTTTGTCTTTGTCTGCCACAACAGCCGACTGTGACAGTCCATCACTTGATGTCCATAAGATGCTGCAGTAATATGGAAATTTAAGGGATGCTTTTCCTATAGTATGGCTCATAGAATTACACATACACGAAGTAAATTAGATGGATGTGAGTAGCCAAGTTCTGTGCCTTGCTGCAAGTTCTGTGCCTGTTTGCATTGTTCTGTGCCTTCCAAGTACATATTCTTGATTCTTCACAATCAAGATTTTACCACAAAATCTTTTAAACTTTTTTTTTTTTTTTTTTTTAATAAATGCCTTTAGGATATCGGCTGGCACAACATGAATAAATTTAGTGCTTTCCAAAATAATTTTAGCTAAGGAAAATTGCACTTGTAATTTTCCAGAAATGTGGTGCTTTAACACCTACATGTATGATCTGGTTTTCATGGCTGCTTTTGCTAGGATTGGTGAGTGGCTTGATGAAATATATATGCAAGAGAAATATATATAATATGATACACAAATCAAAATGCAATATAATTATTAAAAATGATACATAATGCTGCCCTAAACGTGCATATTCAATGAGCGAAACCAGAGAACCTGTGACAAAGAAATTGCAGCTAATGAGTGGTAATGTATCAAAATTTAAATGTTGTATAATTCATGCAAATTTCTTGCACGCATGCATTTAAAACTGTCACACACATGGAACCATACACATATGTGGTGAGCAGCTATCGAAGTCACAAAATATTTGAAAATATCGAGCTTTTATCTCATTATCACTGTTGTGGATTTTATGTTTATAATTAATAAATTGATAATGTATTCTCTGGATGCATATAATGGATGATGCTTCTCAAGTCACCACTGTAATATATTGGGTATACCACTATAGTGTAGTAGGTCACAACACATGTTGTTATGTTGGAAGAGAGCTGCTACTCTCAACATTAACAACTTTTATATCTAACCAAAAACAAGTAATATGATGTGTACGTTAGAGATGGGCAAAACTGCTCCTTTAACCTTTTAACTGGCATGCCCAAAATATTCTCGGGTACAGCACTGGTATTCCAAAATGTCACGCCCAAATATTACTCAAGCTTAAATTTTTTTTTTTTTTTTTTTTTTTTTTTTTTTTTGAGTGCATCGTATTGTTACACCCGAATATATATCATGAGAAGTTTATTTTGGCTTCAGTTCAACAGGTGGCAGCATTTTATTGAAAGTTTCAAAAGATAGAGGTTAAAGTTCAAAGTGCGCTGCATTTTTTTGATTTTTTGACTGTGAGGCAAACATTTCATTTTTTAAATAAAAAAAAAATTGACAATTTATGCACCCAAATCATCAAAATAACTTGACAGTTAAAAGGTTAAAGGATTAAATTGAAACCATTCGCTCACTGAAATGAATCAGTTCTTTTTAATGATTAATGCACTCGGAACAGGCGTGGATCAAGAGCAGTGTGGAAAGATAGGGGAAAAACAGAAAAAAATTAACAAGGAGTGGGATCACTGGAATCAACTCAACCAAGCCACTCACTCTTTGGACTGGATTTATTCAAATTCTACTTTTGAGATTCCCTAAAAGTTTTGCTGTATATAAGTACTTATATAATAAGAACATTTGGCTAAAAGGATTAAAAAACTTAGTAAAATAAGGATAAAAAAAGGATTCTTTTTTTTTTAATTTCAAAGAACAATTTTTTTTGTGACACTGTTCAAAGCATGTTTTGTCTTTTTGGTACATGCATAGACCCACATTGCATGTTTCGCACATGTATCTTCTTCTATGAGGTTTCTTCCTTGTGCTGCAAAATGTACTGGTGAATTTCACTGGTATATGTCCACCCTTATTTAGTTTCTTTCATCTGGCACATCAAATTTGTGGTTTTTTATGTAATGGGGTGGGGGCTTGGTCTTTTTGGCTTTGGTACAAATCATTCGTTTCCCATTCATACTTATTTTATTCGTATTTCGTCCCCAAATATTCAGAAAATATTTTTAACTTAAATAAAACTTTACGCGATTTCTATTTTTAATTATAACAAAGTATATTTACATTAAATTTAAACCACAGGAAATAATTTATAAAATCACAATACTAGCTTGGGGAGCAAGTGTGTTGAGGTCAAAGAAAAGTCTCTGGAAAAGAAAGACCTTTTTACTGGGCAGGTACATGTATTGTCTAGTAATAAAATTACCCTGTGATTTCAAAACCCTTTATCTATATCCGGGTAAAAATAAACATTCCTATTTGAGAAGCAAGCAAATGCCATTGTGAAGAGCAGTGGTTTCAAGGCACAACTACCGAGCCTCTAGAGCATTGTGACACAATGTTCTAGTGGCGTAGTGGTCGTGCCCTGAAACCGCAAAGCAAATTCCATACATACAGAGGGGTTTTTTTTTATATATGTGCAGTTTAATTATTGCTATTTTTTATTGTTTATGATAGAAATCATGATGTGTGATGAAAAACTTTTGAAATTTAAAGTTGTTTATATTCTTAAAAGGAAGTTATTTTGTCTCATTGAAAATGAATTTTGAAAGGCATCCGATTTGAAAGTACTAAGACCTAAAACACGTATGATTCTGCAGTCATTTTGTGTTGTTTAGAGGTAATAGACCAGTAATCAATTTATTTTCATTCAAAAATTTTGGAAAGAAGAGGAGAAAAAAATTAAACTGGTGGTTTTGGGTGCGACCACCGCGCGTCGAAGGGTTAAAGAACTGCCAATTCTGTTTTTACTGGAGCGCTAATCATTTGTTCAGTAAAGTGAATATGTTCTGCAACGTAACATTTGTCTGCATGCAAACACGATCAGAAATGCTTTACTGCCTGAGATACAGATACAATTACAGTTACATACAGTTTTCTAAATTAACAATTTTAGGTATATGAAATAATGGACAATTAAACAAACACTTAGAAATAAATAAGAGTTCAGGAGTTCTGTTACAGTTAAACGACTGCAAATGTATTTCAAATATAAATGATTTTTATGAGAAATTATTCTGTGCTGAATAAATTCAATTATCACAACATGGTTTTCTTTTCTTTTTAATTAAAGCAATTTTAAACCTATCTGTATTGCTTCTAACAATGGCATGTTATTGTAAAATTGTTAAATTGATTTTTAATAAGTTTTAAACTAATTTTAGTATGAAGTACTGGTCCTGCTGCGTCAAGCGTACGACAGATTTTGACAGTTTCTTAGAGCAGATAGGATGTACAACTGGAAAACATAAATGGCTTAAAGATAAAGTATGTTCTTGTTTCTTGGACTATATAACTTTTTTAGATGCATTATACTTAAAAAACAAAATGTTATTCCTACATAAAAATATATTTGTTATATAAATATATTTTATGAAATAAGCATAGCTAATAATTAGTTCTGCATAGTTTTAGAGTGTTAGATGATCATTAAAGAAATTATATTATTATTAGCATCTTTATCAACTGCATTTACTTTATAATATATATTTTCTGTTGCAGAACATGGAACAAAGAGCTAAATGTCGCTATGACTGGCATCAAACAGGCAATTCTGTTGTTATTTCAGTTTATTCAAAATGTCCTTTACCTGATTTATCATTTGTTGATGCAAATCCAGTGAAACTGCATATATATATAACATTTGGAGAAGAAAAAACTGTATTTGATGAAGAGCTCATTTTGTATGGTGTAAGTAATATTTTTATATTAAATGATTTTTAGCTTTCAGCCTCAGAATTTTAGTAATACTATTTTGTGGTTGGTTGCTTATTTGAATATGGCAGTGCTTGTTGCAACAACTACTCATTATACCTACCTTCTTGTTACACTGACCAGTACAAAAATCTTCATCTGATGAGAATTATATTAAATCTTTCATTATATTGACCCCTTGTTCTAATGTCCTTTTTCTGAGAGATACAAAGGGTCATTATGGTGAACTTCAATTTTATTTTTATATGTTATGAAAAAAACTGCAATGATTTTTAGGGGTAATTTTATTCTTGTGCAAAATAGAAGTCTTAAGGTCTACATATGCAGGGTAATTCAGTTAAGCATATACAAACTTCTATGACTGCACAAAGGCAAATCAGAATCCTATACAGTATAACATAGAAAATACTATTTAGATGCAGTAGATGGCACTGTAAGGTAGTGAGAGTGCTCATATATTCTTTCAGGATATCACCATTAGTAAATTACCTGGGAGGTAGTAATATGCCTAGATTCTTTCTTTTATGTTAAACGTCTAGTGTATAATATACCTTTTGAAAGTGATCAGAACCTGGTAGCAATAATCTTATGTACAGTTTTATTCTGACCTTGATACAATTTGGCTCTATTTACCTTCAAAGCGAAGAAGGTCACTGCCAACATGAGATTTTGAAGAACCTCCCATGGAATCCACACTCAGGCCATTTATACACTGCTGGCCATTAAAATTGCAACACCATGAAGGGAAGTAAATACAAAAAAAAAATATTTATTGTATGTAATCAGTATGGCACGAAGACAAAATGATCAAATTTGTAAGCAGTTCAGGGGTTTACAAGGGTGTGAAATTAGTAGAAACAGCTGTCACCCATGTCAGCTAAAACAGCCCTTACTTGGTTAGGCATGGAGTCGAACTGGGCTTGGATGACAGAAACAGGCAACTTATGCTGTTTCAAGTCTATGTCATACTTCAAGTCTGTATTAGCTGGAGAGAGATGGCGGACCAATCTCTCAGAAATCCGTGACCAGATGTTTTTAGTGGGTGACAGATCTGGAGACCTTGCAGGCCAGGGCAGCTGTTGAATACCCTGTGTATCAAGGAACATCAGAACATGACGTGCAACATGTGGTCTTACATTATCTTGCTGAAAGATGGCATTTGGCAGATGTTGAAGACAGGGCACAACCACTGGATGTAAGATGTCAGAAATGCACTAATCTGCATTCAAATTACCATCAATCCAAACTAGACTTGTGCATGTCATGTACCCAGTGGCTGCTGAAACCATTGCAATAGGTGAAGGGCTCCTAAATTGAATGCAAGCAGGTGACGTGCTGTATCCTCGGAACCTCCAGGCATTTATATGGCCATCAGAATACTGCAGGCAGAAGCGTGACTCGTCTGAAAAGACCACATCGTGCCACTCCTGTATCCAACTTTTTTGTTCGACGTACCAAAGTAGGGGTCTTTCTCTATGCTGCATTGTCAAGGGAAGCTGAAGTAATGGTTGTCATGCTGATAGTCCACGCTGCTGCAAATGTTGATGCACCATACAAGCGGACACTGGGCATGCCGCAAAAATGCCCATTTCCTGACTAATGGTCTGTGATGTGGTTGTACAATTTGAAAAGCTGACCTCACAATATGGCTATCCTCTCGAGCGTTACTCATGGGAGGGCACTGAGATCCTGCTTGCCATTCAATATGACCCTCAGCAACCCATTGATTCTGTATTCGTATGACAGTGGTCAGATGTCAACCAGTGTGGCAAGCAATATCACGGAACAATAATCCACACACTCGATATGCAATGATCCTGCCTCTATCAAATTACAACACTTGCTGGTAAACATTTATTATTATTATTTGAGTCCTAACACGATATTCTAAGCAAACTCCAACCATACAAAGCGCCTTCCGAATGAGAAATCCACTACACAATTTTTCTTTTATACAGTGTTTCAGATGTCATTTCTCTTTCCTGTGTCATCTTAAATGCATTGAAATACTAATCATTGGGATCATAACGTATCCCAACATCTTCTTCCTTTCATGTGATTTTGATGTTCATCAGATTACTCCTTCCTTGTGTAGTAATTTTAATGGCCAGCAGTGTATTAGAATGCTGTGCTAACATCTCCCGTAAGTTCACGTCACTCCTGCTGTTAGTTGATGTCATGTTCGTTAACTCATCCTTCCATCAACTTAGAGATCCCACTTTCCATAGTCGTTGCCAAACACAAGATCTTCTGCACCTTCATGTCCATCTGGCAAGCTCGTTGGGATGACTCGAACACTGGGCGACAAGCCTACTCCATCTTTCCTGTGATCTCCAACAAGAGGCCTAAAACAGACTTCTATCTACAACAAGCTTTTACAAATCACAGAAGATTTCCCACGTACCTCAGCAGGTTCTGCAATAAAACCTCTAATTTTATACTAGCATACCCAAAACATTGTAAGTTGAAGCACTCAACATAAGTAATACACTAATGTTAAATCTGTAACTTCTTATAATCTCTTAAACACATTTGAATTGGGACATCTCAATTTCTCCTTTTCATATGCATCATGCATAGTAGAAAGCGATAATATTTAGACTGAACGTTTCAGACTATACTTTTTCTGACTTTTAAACTTTCTTCATGCCAAATAATTTGAAGAAAATTATAGTAACTTGAAATTTTGAGCTTAATTATTACTTAGTGGCCATTTTTACTTACTTGTACGAAGTAAAGGAAGTATTGTAATCGTGAAAATTTTCGGGTATCACATTTAAACAAAAATATATATTTTGACTGCTATTATGTAATAATGTAATTATTACTTAGTGGCCATTTTTATTTCCTTGTACGAAGTAAAGGAAGTATTGTAATCGTGAAAATTTTGGGGTATCACATTTAAACAAAAATATATATTTTGACTGCTATTGGATGTAATTTAACAATGTTTTGGCATCATATCTGTACATAAAGACAGAATAAAAGATTCTTTTTCCCAAAACAAGTTGTAAAAAGGATTTAAAATAGATTCAGAAGAGATTTTTTCATGACGTCTGTACATAGTATGTCTGTATATATGTGTATATGTATCTTGCATAACTAAAAAACCAGTGGCCTCAGAACATTGAAATTTTGTATATAGGACTGATATAACGAGGAGTTATGCACCTCCCTTTTCGGTTGCAATCGGCCATACTTAAAAGTATATACATATACCCACCCACTCTGTTACTCGGTTCTGTGAGCTCAGTTTTTTAAATTCTTGCTGGTAAGTTGTGCCTTTTTTTGCTTTAAAAATGATTTAATTATGTTGTTCTAATCTTCCGATTAAAATTTTTATGCCCTTAGTAAACCTGCATGCAATAATTGTGGAATTATCATCAGTTTAAAAGTTGATTAAGTGCAGCTAAGCTTCATTTTTTTACTATAGCAGCCATATTTGTTTACATATGAAACTTAGCAGAATATTTAGTCAGTTTCTGTACCTTCAGTGTTGTTTTTCCAAGCGGGACCAAAAGTAAACTTTGAGTTTTGTGCACTGAGAAATCTGCCTTCTTACCCATTGGCCGCATTGCTTGTCTTTGTGTAGAAACTCCAATTTCAATTGTAAAAATTGATTTTTAATTGTTTTAACTGTATTTGGTGTTTTAGATTTTTCAATTTTTATAACAATATTTTGAGGTTTTATGTATTTTTGCCTTGTTGTGAAGTGAGAATTGAATTAATTGAATGAGAATGTATATCTCTAATAGAATTCAAGGAAATAAGTGTAAATGAAATGCATCTAATTTAATATTTGATACAAGGAAGGCTTCTGGTGTACACATCAGATTAAAAAAAAAAAAAAAAATTAATGCTGTTTGAACCAAATAAAATTTCAGACTCCCATTTTCCATGTTCTGTCACTCTAGACAGCACTGCAAACATGCACTTCTGTCTGGAACTCTCTTAGGTTTACTGGAAAATGTTACTACAGTACAAAGTCTTTAATCCGGACGTCCATTATTCCGAATAATCTATAATCCAGACCTCAAAGCCACAAACTTACACATGCACGTAATGCATTTACGCATGCACGTTTGATGCGCGCGTCCGCTACACATGCGCGTAAAGCCAGTAAAGCGTTTAACCATACGCGGCTTCCGATAGTGAAGAAAGTTACAGAGAACGTTATTGAAAATGAAAAGATTTCGATTGCCAAGTTAGTCGGTATTCTCGACACAGCAATTACAGGACTTGAACAGTGGAACTTTGTAACTGAACAAGAAATTATGTCTGTTTATAGAATTAAAGAGAAAGTAGCACAAAAAACGAAGCAGCTTAAGCAACTTACATTGATAGAAATGTTTACTAAAGTAAACAAATAAATATTAAGCTTTTAATTTTGATACCTTTTAGATCATGATTGCTTTTTATTTCATAAATTACAGTTTCATATTTTTAATTGTATTATTTTTGCATTTACGTCCCGGCGCGCAATGAACTGGAAGTTGATTTGTCAACACTATCGTTATCTTCAGAGCAGATGTTTTTATTTTATTCGGCTTATAATTCCTTACTAAATGTAGTATTTCATTTCGATGTACTCCGTCTTTGATATGATTTAAATCAAATTCCTCATCATTATAAATACCACGAATACAAATCAAATAGTTTTCTGGTTGCAATTTTCTAATTTCGGCTATGCGTCAGGTATGCTTTACGCATCCGTGCGTTGAAAGAAATGTTTAATAAAGTAAACAAATAAATATTAGGCTTCTTTTTTGGTAAATTTTGATACCCTTTAGATCATAATTGCTCATTATTTTATAAATTACGGTTTCATATTTTTAATTTTATAATTTCTGCATGCCATCTTACCAGATTTAAACTGATGATCTATAATCCGGAAAAATCGATAATCCGGAATCACCGAAGTCCCGACGAGTCCGGATGAAAGACTTTTGACTGTATTAAAGAATAACCCATCTAAATACATTTTATTTTTCTATGTGAATTTTTAGCATCTCTTATACTGATGTATTTATTATTATTGTTACTGAAAATTTTAATGAGAAATTAATGTTTTATTTTAGGTTATTAATCTTGAAAACTGTTCTGTGACTTACCTTGGTAGTAAAGTAGAAATTAAATTAAAGAAAGCAGAGCCAGTAGGTTGGAAAGACTTAACACTGCGAGACAAGATAATGGACATTGATACCATGACTATACAAGACAAATGACAAATATTCTGAATTGTGCATAACTTTTCATTCATTTTGTTTCATTTGCACTTGTGTACTGTAAAGTTTTAGTATTGTTACTTAGAATAAAAATAACTTATTTTATGGGTTATTAAAATAATATTCCTTAAAGCAGTTATCAGTATTACAGATTAACTATTAAAATGAAAGAGTAGTTTGTTTCCCTAAAATCTGTCTTTAAACCCAGATATATAAATTCAGATGTAAGATGAGAGTTCTAATCATCAGAAAAATCATGTAAAAATCAAAACAATTTTTTATTAATGAAAAATTCATAGTTACATATCCTAATAATGGGAACTGTGAATTCTCAGTGAATAAATAATTTTTTTTTATTGTCAATTGGTATTAAATATAATTCCTAATAAAACTTTTATACAAAAGTCACCATTTGATATAAGAATAGTATCTAGCTTAGATGCTTTTAATATACAGATGTATATTGTTGGTGTTCAAGAAAGTATGTCCTGAAGCTACGAAGAAATTTTAAAATGTGAGTCTTAGCAGAATGACAATTCAAAACAAAATTGAAAATTTCTTCTGATGATGTTGTTTAAAAATTACAGATTGCTGCCACCAAATTTAAATACTTTTCTCTAGCAGCAGATGAGTCAACAGACATTTCTTCAACAGCTCATCTGCTTTTGTTTGATAGAGGAATTTCTAAAAATTTTGAAGTAACTGAACAACTTGTTGGAATGCGTTCAATGAAAGGGTGAACAATTGGAGCTGATATTTTATCCTCTATTTTAAATTTGTGTTCTGTATATAATTTTGATACTAACAAACTTGTTAGCATCACTGCTGATGGAGCTGCAGCCATGATTGGAATTCAGAATGGCATGGTGAGTCTACTGAGAAACCATTTATATGATCGAGGCAAAGATTTGCGTGGGTACCATTCTATCATGCACCAAGAACAGCTGTGTGCAAAAGAACTAGGATTTGACTGCCTAATGAAGGTAATACATGAGCGATACAATCAATTTTATTCTCTCACATAGTTTCAACTACAGGCAATTTAAGGAAATCCTAGAACACACAGATACACCACATAATGATCTGCATTACTCTGAAGTATTGTGGTTGAGCCATGTAGAGGCTTTGAAAAGGTTTGCTGGTTTGATTGATGAAATAATATCATTTCTTGAAGAAAAAGGTAAGCAAACTAAGATGTTAAAAAAACCATCTTTCAAGTGTGACTTAGCATTTTTAGTTGATGTGACAGCCCATCTGAATGACATAAACAAAAAATTAATGTGAAAAAAACCATGTCATAAGTCAAAACGTTTTTTAAGTCAAAACTAGCCAGTGCAATATCTGCTTTCAAACTAAAACACCAGCTGTTCTCAAACCAGCTTGGTTGTCACCTTACCTGAAGAAACTCAAGGAAAATTTTCTTGATAAACAACTGGTTATTCAGATCAAATAAAGATACTGCTTACTTCATTTGAAAAGCAATTTACAGATTTTGAGTTGCACAAGGCTAAATTTAAACTGTTTGGGGATCCATTTTCTGTTATAGTCGAAGAAGCTCCAGAAGATGTTCAAATGAATCTTACTGATTTACAAACTTCTGAATCTGGCAAATCCAGATTTTGTGATTATGACATTCTTGAATTTATAAAACTTGCTAAATTTTTGCATTTAAAAAATAATGCGAGCAGATGGGCTCCATGTTTGGTAGTACTTATATATGTGAACAAACATTTTCTTTTATGAATTCAAGTTGTTAGTCAAAAATAAGAAATAAACCGACAGATCAACACTTGAAATCTGTCTTAAGAATATCAACAACTAGCTTTCAGCCAAATATATATATATATAAAATTGATAAAATTCAGTCTAAACCATCACACTAATATATTTATGTATGGCTAACTTGTACACATTTTTATTAAAATATTTATACTTTAAATAATGCACAAACATATTTTTTTTTTTTTTTTCAAGCTGAATTGAGTGTGTTGTCCCAGTAGCACATGCAAGGGGAAAGTGAAAAACCTTGCATACATATGTAATAGTCTCAAATCAGTTTAAATTTGATATGGTACATGTCTGAATTACAAATTAAGCAACTTAATTGCACTGATACCCATTCTCCCAAAATTTTGTGCCTACGCTATTGGCCCTTGGTAACCACGTTATTTTTGCGAGTGGTCCTTCTGCTGAAAAGGTTGTGCATCCCTATTTTAATGAGATAAAAAGTATTAGATGAGAGATTAATTGTAGAATATGATAAAATATGCAATTTAACAAGATTAAAATCTATCATTTGTTTTGTATGAATTATTCATTACTAGCAAGATTTCCCAGATAAACTGTAAAGGCTAATGGAGAGCATATCCTCATTTTTATTGGAAAGCTTATAAAAAGAATTCTAGTTTTTATAAATTCATGAAGTTACCATAGTGCTTTGTTGTTGGAATTATTTTTACATTCTCCCTCAAGATTACTGTTCACTTTTTATTTTTTCTCCATTACTTCCCAGGATTACTTTATATTTCATTTCTGCCAATGCCTTATAATCGTAAGGTTAAACAAGTTAGCAATTTTTTTTTTTTTTTTTTTTTTAATATTTCACACAGTTTTGATTGCAAATATGGCTGCTGAATCACCCCTGCTAAGTGACATAGCAGAAGAAATGTATTAACTAGGAGAAATTTCAATTGCTAAATCAGTTGAAACAGATTAGTGAAAATACAGCTGACTTGGATACTCTAAGCAGTTTTGAGTTTGAAGTTGAATTTCTGAAAAAACAGAAAATTGCTTTTATTGCTTCCCAAAATTCAGAATATGAGTTATTTGATGAACATAACCGACACTTTAGCAGGTGGAGAAGGTGGGAAATTTCCAGACATACTGCCGAAAGAAAAATATCACAGATCATAACCCTAATAGAGTAAGAAAATAAATTTGCAACTTTAAGTAATGATACGGAACAAATTAAAAACCATAATCAAAAGAGTACTGAACCTATGCTGATTAAAAAAGAAATGATCCTACCAATTATTATCTCGAATTTTACAAAAAAAAAAATCTAGTAAATTTCAAAAAGAGCTAATTCCACAAGTTTTAATTAAAAGATGGAAAAAAAAAAAAAAAACGAACATGAAAGCAGTAATAAAACAACTGGATACTGAAGTAACAGATATTAAAAATGAACTGAAAGATTTTGGCTTTCACTTATCAGACAGATTACAAGAACAGGAATGATAGAAAAAAAATCTCTATGTACATAGGTCAGCTTTCTCATTCAGAAGATGCAATTTGCAACTTAACAAGATTTATACAAGGAGATGAAAAACCCTTTATTTATTTATTTTTTTTAAACTCCAAACAGATTACCCTCTCTATAGAAAGATTTGTGACTAAATTTCAAATCACTAAAGGAATCTTTGAAAAAATTTAAGTAGATATGATGGTTTTTAACTATTTTACAGGGTTCGTAGTGGTCCTTACAAGTGCTTATAAGTCCTTATACAGTACAAAGTTTTTAATCCGGACCTCAAAGCTACAAACTTTCTGCGCATGCACATAATACCTTTACGCAGGCCCATAATACGTTTACGCATGTGCGTTTAATGTATAACGGACGGTATAAGCTAGGCTAAAATTATCTAATTATATAATTCAGTTAATGTTGCAGATTCCGTTGTTCCTTAATCTTCTATTTGGATACAGCTTATTATTTTTTGCAGACTGTTAGAGCAATTTTATAAAAAGTAAGCTTGAATTTTCGATTATGTCAGAAAGAGTTTCTGATTCTGGGGCTGCCAAATGATCTACAAAGCGAAAGCATGTTTCAATGTCCATCAAACAAAAAGTGGATAAAGGCATATCCTTTTGTTTCTCTAACCATTCCAAAATCTATTTATCAATTTAACGCTGCTCTGCAGAAGGGGGGGCACGTCGCAGCGCGCAATGAACTGGAAGTTGATCTGTCAGCACTATCCTCATCTTCAGGGCAGATGTTTTTATTTTATTCCGCTTATAATTCCTTACTAAATGTAGTATTTCATTTCGATGTACTCCGTCTTTGATATGATTTAAATCAAATTCCTCGTCATTATAAATATTACGAATATACATCAAATAGTTTTCTGGTTGCAATTTTCTAATTTCGACTATCCGTAATGTATGCTTTACTCATGCGCGTGTTGAAAGAAATGTTTAGTAAAGTAAACAAATAAATATTAAGATTTATTTTGTAAATTTTCATATCCTTTAGATCATAATTGCTCTTTATTTCATAAATTACAGTTTCATGTTTTTAATTTTACAATTTCTGCATGTCATCTTACCAGATTTAAATTGATGATCTATAATCCGGAAAAACCTCTAATCCGGAATCGCCAAAGTACCGATGAGTCCGGATTAAAGACTTTGTACTGTATTTGCAAATAAATTATAAAAGGTGCTTAATTTTTTTCTAAAGCACTTATATTTTTGTTTTTTGTGCTTTTTTTGCCACATCAAAGCCGCAACTAACTAAACAACTTATTCTTTCTTATCTGGGGCATCAGATTGTGAATCATACTTCCGGAAATAGCTTTCTCCGCATTAACGCAACCTTTAACTTTTGATTTGCGCGAGTATAGACAGGTGCACGTCGTTCTATTGATGAAAGAGTTGTGAAAAGGGGTAGAAAATTCCGGTATATTTTCACATACTTTTCCTTCCACCCACAAATATTAGACGTTCCAAATCCCACGTGGACAGTTCATATTCGCATTTATTACGATCGAATATGAGAGATATGTATGAATATTTATAATATATTATTTGCAGTAAATGCTGAAGTTAGGTAAACTTTAAAAATGGGTAACTGTGATTTTAACACAGATTGGCTTTCTAAGGAAGAATATTCTGAATGGCTTAAACACAGCGAAAGTAATCGCAAGGCCATGTGTTCCTGGTGTAAAACTGAAATCAACATAGCCTCCAGTGGAACGGTGTAGCACCAGGGTACCTGGATTAACGAGAACCCTACCCCTTGTAGAACGACTAAGTTTTTTCGAATCATGTCCAAAAAATAACTGGAACATAAAATTGAACAGGTGAAAAACTCAAGTTACATAAATCTCACATCCACGAGAA